TAACAGGGCCGGGCCGGGCTTCAAAGTGATGGCGCAGGCCCTAGCCTAAGGTCTCAGACTAGGCTTGAGCCTAAGCTCAAACGAGTCTTTCCCGAGACGCGAGCGGGCTTCGGGCAGCCTACGTTCTTTTTGATTGTTCCATTAAGTCCTATTTGAGATAAGAAGACCAAAATACCATTTTCATCTACTTATATTCTATTTAGTCCACATTATTTTCTTATATTTCAATAAGTCCTATGGGAGACATAATTACCAAAATACCCATAATGTGAATGTTCACATCGTCAATGTGAATGTTCATATCATCAATGCGTAGAGGCCTAGGCCGGCCCATATCGAGCCTCGTGGGTGTTTGAAAAAATCCGGGCCGGCCCGGCCAGGCCCACGGGCCAAAAAATTAGCCCCAGGCCCTAGCCTTGGCACAAGGGTATTCGGGCTTTGGACAGGCCGATGGATCGACCCTCGGGTCGGGCCGGTAGGCCTGGGCCTGGGCCTGGGCCTAGCCTCTAGCTTAGGTCGGGCTTGGGCGAGCCTGACCATTTTTTTTAATACTGTTTAATTTTTTCTACCAAAATTTTATTATTTTTCACAAAAAAAGACATTGTGCCTCTGGCGGGCTGGGCCTCGGACCAAGCCTTGAATGGGCCTTAAGCGGATTGATAGGCTGAGCCAGGCTTCAAAGTGATGGCCTAGGCCCTAGCCTAGGGTCTCGGACATGCTCGGACTCGGACTCAAACGAGCCTGCCCTGGGCCGTGAGTGGGCTTCGGGCAGCCTACGGGCCGCAGGCCAATTCTACATTCCTATCAATGTGCATGTTAACATGTCAATGTGAATATTCACAATGTCACGGGTCGGGCTGCGGTCGGGCTTCGGGCCGCCTACGGGCTACGGGCCAATTTTACACTCTTATCAATGTGAATGTTAACATGTCAATGTGAATATTCACAATGTCACGGGTCGGGCTGCGGTCGGGCTTCGGGCCGCCTACGGGCTACGGGCCAATTTTACACTCTTATCAATGTGAATGTTAACATGTCAATGTGAATATTCACAATGTCACGGGTCGGGCTGCGGTCGGGCTTCGGGCCGCCTACGGGCTACGGGCCAATTTTACACTCTTATCAATGTGAATGTTAACATGTCAATGTGAATATTCACAATGTCACGGGTCGGGCTGCGGTCGGGCTTCGGGCCGCCTACGGGCTACGGGCCAATTTTACACTCTTATCAATGTGAATGTTAACATGTCAATGTGAATATTCACAATGTCACGGGTCGGGCTGCGGTCGGGCTTCGGGCCGCCTACGGGCTACGGGCCAATTTTACACTCTTATCAATGTGAATGTTAACATGTCAATGTGAATATTCACAATGTCACGGGTCGGGCTGCGGTCGGGCTTCGGGCCGCCTACGGGCTACGGGCCAATTTTACACTCTTATCAATGTGAATGTTAACATGTCAATGTGAATATTCACAATGTCACGGGTCGGGCTGCGGTCGGGCTTCGGGCCGCCTACGGGCTACGGGCCAATTTTACACTCTTATCAATGTGAATGTTAACATGTCAATGTGAATATTCACAATGTCACGGGTCGGGCTGCGGTCGGGCTTCGGGCCGCCTACGGGCCATAAAGTCTTTTTTCTTGATTTACACTATTTTATTAGACACTTATGCCCTTATATTTAATTTTGATACCCTTATAAATATTTGTTGAACGATTAGCAATTTTATGATGTGAACATTCATATTTTTAAATTCACATTGGTAGGAATGTAAAATTGGCCCGTGGGCGGCCCGAAACCCGCCTGCGAGCCGGGGCGGGCCCGAACCGTTGACAATGTAAATATTGACATTGACATGTTAACATTCACATTAATAGGAGTATAAAATTGGCCCGCATCCCGTGGCGGCGCGAAACTCGCCGGAGGCCCATGGGCGGCCCGAGCGCAGGCCTAGTCCGGCCCGTTAACAATGTGAATATTCACATTGACATGTTAACATTCACATTGATAAGAGTATAAAATTGGCTCGCGGCCTGTGGGGGGCCAAAAGCCCCCTCCGCGGCCCGGGGTAGGCCTGGCCCAACCCGTTGACAATGTGAATATTCACATTGACATGTTAACATTCACATTGATAGGAGTGTAAAATTAGCCCACGCCCTGTGGCTGGCCGAAACTTGCCCATAGCCCGGGGCGGACCCGGCCCAGCCTGTTAACAATGTGAATATTCACATTGACATGTTAACATTCACATTGATAAGAATATAAAATTGGCCAGCGGCCCAGAGTGGGCCCGACCCGGCCCATTGACAATGTGAATATTCACATTGACATGTTAACATTCACATTGATAAGAGTGTAAAATTGGCCCGCAACCCGTAGGCGGCCCGAAACCCGATCGCAGCCCGACTCGTGACAATGTGAATATTCACATTGACATGTTAACATTAACATTGATAGGAGTGTAAAATTTGTCCGCTGCCCGAAGCTTGCCCTTGGCCCGGGATAGGCCCGGCCGGGTCTGTTAACAATGTAAATATTCACATTGATATATTAACATGCACATTGATAGGAATATAGAATTGGCTCGCGGCCTGTGGGCTGTCCGAAGCCTGCCCACGGCCCAGGGCAGGCTCGTTTGGGTCCGGGCCCGAGCCGGTGGGTTGAGCCTCGAGTCGGGCGATGGGCCTGGGCCTGGGCCTAGCCTTAGGCTTGGGTCGAACTTGGGCGGGCATGGCCATTTTTTTTAATTTTTTCTATCAAAATTTTATTATTTTCCACAAAAAAAGACACTAGGCCTCGGCACGGGCCGGACCTCGGACCGAGCCTTGAATGGGCTTTAACGGGGCCGGGCTTCAAAGTGATGGCGCAGGCCCTAGCCTAAGGTCTCAGACTAGGCTCGAGCCCAGGCCCAAACGAGTCTTTCCCGAGCCGTGTACGGGCTTCAGGCAGCCTACATTCTTTTTGACTATTCCATTAAGTCCTATTTGAGGTAAGAAGACCAAAATACCATTTTCATCTACTTATATTTTATTTAGTCCACATTATTTTCTTATGTTTCAATAAGTCCTATGGGAGACATAATTACCAAAATACCCATAATGTGAATGTTCACATCGTCAATGTGAATGTTCATATCATCAATGCGTAGAGGCCCAGGCCAGCCTATATCGAGCCTTGTGGGTGTCCGAAAAAATTCGGGCCGGCCCCGGCCAGGCCCACGGGCCAAAAAATTAGGTCCAGGCCCTAGCCTTGGCACAAGGGTATTCGGGCTTTGGATGGGCCGATGGATCGAGTCTCGAGTCGGGCCGGTGGGTCTAGGCCTAGCCTCGAGCTTAGGTCTGGCTTGGGCGAGCCTGGCTATTTTTTTTTAATACTGTTTAATTTTTTCTACCAAAATTTTATTATTTTTCACAAAAAAAGACATTGCGCCTCGGGCGGGCTGGGCCTCGGACCGAGCCTTGAATGGGCCTTAAGCGGGCTGATGGGCCGAGCCAGGCTTCAAAGTGATGGCCTAGGCCCTAGCCTAGGGTCTCGGACATGCTCGGGCCTAGACCCAAATGAGCCTGTCCCGGGCCGTGGGTGGACTTCGAGCAGCCCACGGGCCGGGGGCCAATTCTACATTCCTATCAATGTGCATGTCAACATGTCAATGTGAATATTCACATTGTCAACGGGCCGGGCCGGGCCTACCCCGGGCCGCGGGCAAGCTTCGGGCAGCAAGCAAATTTTACATTCCTGTCAATGTTAATGTTAACATGTCAATGTGAATATTCACATTGTCACGGGTCGGGCCAAGCCCGCCTCGGGCTGCGGTCGGGTTTCGGGCCGTCCACGGGTTGCGGGCCAATTTTACACTCTTATCAATGTGAATGTTAACATGTTAATATGAATATTCATATTGTCAACGGGCCGGGGCGGGCCCGCCCTGGGCCGCTGGCTAATTTTATACTCTTATTAATGTGAATGTTAACATGTCAATGTGAATATTTACATTGTCAACAGGCAGGGCCGCCCACGGGCAGTGGGCGGGTTTCGGGCAGCCACGAGGCGCGGGCTAATTTTACACTTCTATCAATGTGAATGTTAATATGTCAATGTGAATATTCACATTGTCAACGGGCCGAGCCGGGCCCGCCCCGGGCCGCGGGTAGGCTTTTGGCCGCGCCATGGGCCATGGCCCAATTTTGTACTTTTATCAATGTGAATATTCATATATGAATATTCACATTATCAATAGGCCAGACCGGGCTCGTCCCGGGCCGCAGGCGGGTTTTGCGCCGCCACGGGACGCGTACCAATTTTACACTCCTATTAATGTGAATGTTAACATGTCAATGTGAATATTCACATTGTCAACGGGTCGGACCGCCCCGACCCTACTCGAATTTTTTCGGGCACCCACGAGGATCGACATGGCCAGGCCCCTACACATTGACGATATGAACATTCATATTGACGGTGTGAACATTCACATTAAGGCTTGGTTTGGGAAGTAGGTTGGTTTTTTGGTTTTTTGGCTTTTTTGGCTATTTTAGCCTGGGCTAAAAAGCTTGGTTTGGGAAGAGCTTTTTGGCTTTTTGGCTTTTTTGACTTTTTTTGTGAGAGAAAAATGTAATGATTATAGGTTGGATGTGATGTTTTGTTTGTTATGGCTAAAATAGCCTATTTTGTTTTTTGTGGCTAAAATAGCCAAAAAAGCCTGAAAACTAACTTGCCAAACAGAGGCAGAGTGTTTTGATAATTATGTCACCCATAGAACTTATTGAAACATAAGAAAATAATGTGAACTAAATGGAACATAAATAGATAAAAAAGGTATTTTACTATTCTTATCTTAAATAGGACCTAATGAAATAATAAAAAAAAATATGAGCTGAATAGAATAAAACTCTTAAAAAATAAGTTTATCAAAAAAGCTCCATGATATTTTTGCCTTTTTGAAAATTACATTTTCCAAAAGTTTTTTTATTTTTATATATCCATCTCTCTGTCTCTATCAATCTATCTGTCTATCAATCGAACGTACAGAGAGTGCTCCTCTGTACAGCAATGGGGTTCTCACTGCTCGCCTTGGTGACTCCAATTTTCTGCAAGGCCAACAACAACAACAACATCAACTCTCATTCGCTCGATGCGTCCTATATCCGACGCGCCGCCGAGATCGCCGACAAGTCCGCCGGATTCACGTCCCCGCACCCTAACTTCGGCTGCGTCATCGTCTCCGCCGCCGGGAAGGTTGCCGGTGAGGGATACCTCTATGCTCAGGGCACCAAGCCCGCCGAGGTTCTGGCGGTGGCCGCCGCCGCCGAGCAGTGCAAGGGCGCCACCGCCTATCTCAACATGGAGCCTGGTGACTGCTACGGCGACCGCGCTGCTGTCTCTGCTCTCGTTCAGGTTTGAACAAAATTCACCTCTTTTTCTTTCTTCTCTGCTATGTATGTATATATATATACTAGGCTCTGCTGTGTACTATGAAAATCAATCAGTTGAATGTAGAAGAAAGGGGACAAATAAATGAAATTGAAAAATCAAAATCTGAGGTTGTTATTTAGAGTAAATTGTACAGGGATGATTTGGGTATGGAAATCAGTGTGACAGTTCACACCATGTTTTATATAATGGTATAGTTAGTGTACACTAGCAGTGGGTGCCGCGATGCATTTGTAATTTTATATGATTTGAGGGTTGAGGAAAACTGATTAACAATTTTGGAAGAAAAATTCTTTTAACAGTTATTAAATGTGACCGTTACTTGGGCATTTGTGGAAAAGTAAAAAACTTGACAGGGTTCACACCAAATCGGGTATACGTTTTATATAATAGAATAGAGTAGATAACAGTATAGATACTAGATAGTGCAGATATGTACTAGCTATGTGATGTGATGTGTTTGCAATTTTACATCTAAATTTGTTGGTGATTTGATGAATGAGGAAGATGGGTCTGTTAGCAGTTATTTTGTAGAGCAAATAGCAATAGAAAAATGCTTGAGACACTTAATTTATCAACCCTAAAAACCATCCCTAATGATGTGTCTGACAATTGTCAAATTTTGATTCGTTAAACATTCTCTCAATGCCACATCATTAGGGGTGGTAAATTAGGGGATGTAGCATTGTTTAATAATGGGTGTTTTTGAAAAAACCAAAATTAAAAAATTAAAAAAAAAAAGAAAGAAAGTGTGGAAAAACTTCAAAACTGATTGGGTTTACATGTGCACTGGAAATATAGTGATTGTTGAGCTTTTCTACTTTTGTTAATGAATACTTGCAATAGGAGAGAAGGTCTACGTGTAACTGATGTTCTGTACATTAGGCAGGGATTACTAGAGTTGTTGTTGGCATCAGGCATCCTTTGCAACATCTTCGAGGCAATGCTATTCGTGCATTGAGAAGTGAAGAACTGCAAGTTGATGTTCTTGGGGAGGATTTACAAAGTAAAACAATTGAGGTATATTATTTTTAATTTTTTTGCTCATTGAGGTATATATTCAACTTTATGTATGGCTGATTATAAAATTTAAAAAAAAAGAAGAAGAAAAAAAGTTATGGTTTCCACAGGATTATCTTTTGTATGAATTTTATCACCAATATTACCCATTTTAAATAATATAGCAAGTCAGCAAAGTGCCTTCCTGATTTTGTTAAATAAAAATCCATTTGTAACCCTTTTTGCTTATAAGAAAGTAAGAGTTGGTAGGAGCGGTGGGTTGATGATGAATGTATAAATCAAGAAAGACCAAAATATGTTCTAACGGATGGTTGCTATGAAGGTACAGTTTATGAAATAGTACAGTAAGTTCCACCATCAGAGGTGACTACCTATTGCCATTGCTGTGAAAACGCTCCAACAACCTACTGTGTCATGTGTGCATTTCCATTGGGCAAAGCTTGTTGGCTAAATTTTGCCTTTTTTAGTGCTATTTCTCAGTTGGTATAGAGTTTGTGTGTTATAAATTGCTCATTGTGTTTTTCTCTAAAGGTATAGATTCTGTATTTTAGGAAGCTCTGAAATCCTGCCTCTTGGTCAATGCTCCTTTACTGTACAGAGCTGCCTCTCGAGTTCCATTCGCTGTTCTCAAGTATGCAATGACCCTTGATGGTGAGCATTACATTTTTAGAAGAATATTTAACTGGTTTCGATGTTTTTTTTAACAGTCATGAATCTGAATGATCTTTAGTTACTTGTTGAGGCCAACAAGTTTTTAATAACTGGGAATTGCTGCTGATGATCTTGTATGATTGCTGGCAGGAAAAATTGCAGCCAGTAGTGGACATGCATGGTGGATAAGCAGCAAAAAGTCAAGAAGTCGAGTTTTTGAATTACGGGGTAAAAGTGATGCTATTATTGTTGGAGGAAATACCGTACGCAGGGATAGTATGAATCTTCATTACCTGCTATGTTCAAGTTGCTGGAGTGGCCAAAATAATATTTTTACATGCTGTTCTAATTCTGCTTTAAAATACAGATCCACAATTAACCGCAAGACATGGAGGTGGCCATGTGCCCATGCGGATTGTTTTGTCACAAACACTCAATCTGCCTGAGGAAGCAAATCTTTGGGATACCGCTGATGTACCTACCATTGTTGCCACACAAAGAGGTGCTAGAAAGAGTTTTCAGAAGTTTCTTGCATCTAAAGGTGTTGAAGTAGTGGAGTTTGACATCTTAAATCCCAAAGATGTAATGGAATACTTGTATGATCGTGGTTACCTTTCAATTCTGTGGGAGTGTGGAGGGACATTAGCTGCTTCTGCTATTTCATCTGGTGTTATACACAAGGTTTGTGTTATGTTATTGTTAAATGGATACCACATTTCTTGATACAGTTGTTCAATCTTCTGCAAATTTCAATTGACAAATTGAGCAAACTCAACTTAGACTTGATACCCTATATAATATAATGTAGTTTTTGGTGAGGAGTTCCTTGGTGGGCTAACAATCCCAGATTCCCTATTCTTTTCCATGTTCTGCGTGTTTAAGAAAATTTGATTCTTGTAGCATCGTAAGGCTAGTTGCTTCTCTTGTAATTTTCTTTAAAACTTTGAACTGTTTATCTCTCTCCAATATGCATGTCTTAACAGAATATTTGTTACTTTTAGTCTACATGTTTTCAATTCCTTGACATGGTTTAATGACTCTGGTCTGTCTTGATAGTTCTTCTTGGCTAAGTTGCTACAGCAATAATTTTATTCAAATAAATTAAACATGGATAATGGATCTATATAAAAGTTACTAAGGAAAGGTCTATCTAAAAGTTGCATCCTTTTTCTGTTGTTATGTAATTTTTGCTGGCATAATGGCTTTTCATATAGATTTGACTTGATGCAGGTGTATGCATTTGTTGCTCCTAAAATTATTGGTGGAAAGAATGCACCCTCTCCAGTTGGTGAACTTGGGATGGTTGAGATGACACAAGCTTTGGAATTAATTGATGTTTGCTATGAGCAGGTTCTTCTTCTTCTTTTTTTCTTTTTTCTTTTTCCTTTTTGTTTATTAGTAATGATATGTTTTTTGGCGTGGCAATATCTTGACAATGTCATGAATGGTTTGAAATGGTAAAGTTTATGAACATTAGTCATTTGGTTTCTCTTTGTATTGGCACTTCCTCCCTCCATCTCTTGTAATGAATGTGAAAATTTTAATTTAGTCATTCCTTTTGATTTTGAAACATGAAACCACCTCACCTGAAATCAGGAGATTCAAAATCTATTACGCTCAATGTCGACCCATTTTTTCAATTAACTCATTCAGAGTTTGAACTAGTTTTCAAAAAGTACTTTTGTGCAACACTATATATATATATCCAAGTAAAAGTTTGAAAACTTATATTTTCAGAAGTTTCTTATGAAAAAAGTTGCTAGATTTCTGAATGTCTTGTCCACCTTTTCAGGTTGTGTTGTTTCTTACCTATGACACGTGAACTGCAGATTGGACCGGACATGCTTATAAGTGGATTTCTTCATCCCGTTCCAGACCTAACACCTGTTATTCCATCAGTGGAGGAAACTTCTGCAATTGATCCTTCAGTTACCGCTTATGAATCAAGCATCATATTCTTTTACAAGACATGGGATCCTTATGGAGCCTTTTCAAACTTCTCTCCTCATGCAATTCAAATGCCCTGTGAAAGTGGCAATTATCTAACCTGGCCGAGTGTGGAGCATTATTATCAGGTCACTCACTATTTCTAGAAATTATATTTGTTTGTTTGCAACTTTAGTGGTTATAATGTATATTTTTTTTTTGCTTCAAATGCAGGCTCACAAGTTTGTGGGGGTGAATGATCCTGTAGCCAGGAATTGTGTGGAAGACATAAGATCTGCTAAGAGTCCTGAGGAAGCAGCACGAATGGGAAGGACAATGCAGAGGCAGCACCCTGATCTGGTATGTACGGATAACTATGATGCTATATGAAGCATGGGTGGTCCAAAAATATTGTCATATGAGTACTGGTATAGACAAAATACATATCTAGTATGCAAAATGCTTTGGATATAGTGCACACCAGTATTTGTTTGTTAACAAATAGAGACCAATGGAGTATTGACTAAATTACTTTATTTCTTTGCCTTTACGGTGCACAGTCAAGTTAAATTCAATTTTCTGCAATGTCTTGTGAAATGCAGGTAAGATCTGATTGGGAATCTGTCAAGATCGATGTTATGTACAAGGCCTTGAAATGTAAATTTTCCATCTACCCTCATTTAAACTCTATGCTGCTCTCGACAGCAGGGTCTGTTCTTGTTGAAGCGTCGCCGCATGATCTCTTTTGGGGAGGAGGTCGAGAGGGTGAAGGCCTAAACTATCTAGGCAGGTTGCTGATGCAGTTGAGATCGGAGTTTCTTGGTGAATCTTCTTCATCATCAAATAAGATCTCTATAACTCATCAAGAAAGAGAGAATGAATTGAAAAATGCATGATGGTTCTGTTTAAATACTTCTTTGTAACATTATTATTAATCAAATTTTCTTGTAAGCCTCTTTGTAACATTATTATTCTGCAAATAATAAGTGTAAGCTTGTGATAATTTTGTTTGCCGAATTATGATATATATATATATATATATTTACTTTCTAGTTCCTGGCAACAACTTTTTATATAATGCAAACTCGAGAGTTCTTTGGCATTGAATCACCTTTTGGGTTCTCATGCGAGTATGCCTTCTCACAATGAGAGAGAGAGAGAGAGAGAGAGAGAGAGAGAGAGAGGTCATGTAGTTCCAAAATTGATAAAAAACACATCAGGAAATCATAGGAATTGGTTTGTCAATCAGAACATCATCAAGTGCAGCTAAGATAAAAAATACAATGCCAATCATTAGTTGAGTTATGAGGGATAAAATTTACAGAGTGAAGGCACAAAAGTGATATCGCTCATAGAATTGAGGAGCAGTTAACTGAGATTGTTCATTTTCATTGTCATTATTGTAACTCTTCTTTGGTATAACTTAAGTATTAGAATTTACAGGCAAAACTGAGGCAAGGAAGCTCCAAGAATTTCACTCTTCTTTTGGCTTGAGTTGTCCTCCAAGAAAGACAAGTCCAACAGTAGTGAAAGCGGACAAGACAGTTGATGCGTAACACATTGCAAGTAGCGCTCCCCGCAAAGACTGCATCATGGAACATTGAGTATTATCATAGGGAACAAGGTAAGATACTGCATCATGGAACATTGAGTATTATCATATAGGGAACAAGGTAAGATGATAATTGCACAGTTAAGAAGAAGCACGGACATAGATACCGTAACGTGGCACGATAGACACAATTTTTTTGTTTATTTATAAAAGTAAGATATTACGTGCAAAATATATAATTTTATATATTTATTATATGTCATATATATATAAATATTTAATTAAAAAATAATAAAAATTAGAGTCTAAAAGAGGAGAACATGTAAAAATTTACGTTGTTTTTGTTTTCTCATTGGATTGCGCATATTCAAACTAGTAATGTGTTTCATATGTTTTAAGTGATAGATACGTATTTTCCAAGTATCTAAAGCATGTCCCAATTTAAAAATATTTTAGAAATAAGTCATGTGTGGACGTGTGTCCAACATGTGTTAGGGAAGTGTTTGTGCTTCTTAGTTGTGCAAATGCATATTACCTTGGCAAGCAGCAAAGCATTGTCATTTGCATACTGCAACGAGCTCTCTGGTATGCTTTGAATGCCTTGACTTAATTGCCACGAAATAATCCTGAATTACAAAATTTTCAGCTACCAAAAAAAAAAAGGAAAAAGACTACCCAATGCACGAGACTCTTGTTAAAACAGGGTCTGAGGGGGACAAGATGTATGCAACCTTACCCCTATTTTTGGAGAGACTGTTGGTTAAAACCTTTATAAATGAAAGTAGAAATAGAGGACTCACAGCTGGATTGAATTTTTACCCAAAAATGAAACCGATTGCGGCGCCAATATAAGACTTTTCTGATGTTAGTTCAACCTGAAGATCTCCAAACTGCAGTTGAACCAACAATAGTCATTTGGAGTTCCCATTTTGGGGCATACATACAGTCAAAGTTCAATTAAAGTTGAGGAATCATTATCTACCTTCAGCATCCTAGCTTCCAGTTTTGGTTCTTCACCAGTTGCTGTGGATACCTGACTTTCAGCCAAAAGCTTTCCAGATGTAATCATTGCTTTCGCAATCTGTAATGTATTATTTTATAGAAAATAAGTTATGTTTATTTTTAAGAGTCAAAAGACAAAGTGTCAGTAAAGTATTAAAGCATAATCATGGCATTTGAACTGGACGTTGAGTCCGAGTATTGGATGCTCGCCACGTCGGGATTATTTGTAAACTAATGGATTGTATTTTGCCCATCTATTTGCAAACCCAATACTAGATCTAAGCAAAAAATCCAACCCAATACTAATGCGTAGATAAAATCTGTACTTTTGATTTACAAAAAATGCCGAGGTGGCACAAATTTGCTGCTTGGACTGTTCTCTCCCGTTCCTACCTGGACTAGAGAGAAGCCATTTCCAAAATGAAAAGAAATGAATATGTCCAGTATAATTGTAGATGTTAGGTGAATTTCAATTGTTTGCTGCAAGATGGTTTAACATTCCAGAGCAGTCCAAGAATAATCACACCATATGGGAATTTATAACAATGATAGTTTTTCAATGCTACCACTGAATTTCAGGATTTAAATCAACAGTGTGACTCAAGAGTAGGAGTAATGCTATAAATACTAATTAGTGTACCAATTAACACACTAACTAGATACAATATTAGGTTAGGACCATATTAAGTGGTGGAAACTACATGTATATCTTGTGTCTTAATTAGTGTGTTAATTGGTACACTAATTAGTATTTATAGCATTACTCCTACTCCTGAGTCACACTGTTGATTTAAATCCTGAAATTCAGTGGTAGCATTGAAAAACTATCAATGTTATAAATTCCCATATGGTGTGATTATTCTTGGACTGCTCTGGAATGTTAAACCATCTTGCAGCAAACAATTGATATTCACCTAACATCTACAATTATACTGGACATATTCATTTCTTTTCATTTTGGAAATGGCTTCTCTCTAGTCCAGGTAGGAACGGGAGAGAACAGTTCAAGCAGCAAATTTGTGCCACCTCGGCATTTTGTGTAAATCAAAAGTACAGATTTTATCTACGCATTAGTATTGGGTTGGATTTTTTGCTTAGATCTAGTATTGGGTTTGTAAATACAATCCATTAATTTACAAATAATCCCGACATGATGAGCATCCAATACTCGGACTCAACATCCAGTTCAAATGCCATGATTATGCTTTAATACTTTACAGACACTTTGTCTTTTGACTCTTAAAAATAAACATAACTTATTTTCTATAAAATAACACATTACAGATTGCGAAAGCAATGATTACATCTGGAAAGCTTTTGGCTGAAAGTCAGGTATCCACAGCAACTGGTGAAGAACCAAAACTGGAAGCTAGGATGCTGAAGGTAGATAATGATTCCTCAACTTTAATTGAACTTTGACTGTATGTATGCCCCAAAATGGGAACTCCAAATGACTATTGTTGGTTCAACTGCAGTTTGGAGATCTTCAGGTTGAACTAACATCAGAAAAGTCTTATATTGGCGCTGCAATCGGTTTCATTTTTGGGTAAAAATTCAATCCAGCTGTGAGTCCTCTATTTCTACTTTCATTTATAAAGGTGTTAACGAACAGTCTCTCCAAAATGGGGGTAAGGCTGCATACATCTGGTCCTCCTCAGACCCTGTTTTAACAGGAGTCTCGTGCATTGGGTAGTCTTTTTCCTTTTTTTTTTTTGGTATCTGAAAATTTTGTAATTCAGGATTATTTCGTGGCAATTAAGTCAAGGCATTCAAAGCATACCAGAGAGCTCGTTGCAGTATGCAAATGACAATGCTTTGCTGCTTGCCAAGGTAATATGCATTTGCACAACTAAGAAGCACAAACACTTCCCTAACACATGTTGGACACACGTCCAAACATGACTTATTTCTAAAATATTTTTAAATTGGGACATGCTTTAGATACTTGGAAAATACGTATCTATCACTTAAAACATATGAAACACATTACTAGTTTGAATATGCGCAATCCAATGAGAAAACAAAAACAACGTAAATTTTTACATGTTCTCCTCTTTTAGACTCTAATTTTTATTATTTTTTAATTAAATATTTATATATATATGACATATAATAAATATATAAAATTATATATTTTGCACGTAATATCTTACTTTTATAAATAAACAAAAAAATTGTGTCTATCGTGCCACGTTACGGTATCTATGTCCGTGCTTCTTCTTAACTGTGCAATTATCATCTTACCTTGTTCCCTATATGATAATACTCAATGTTCCATGATGCAGTATCTTACCTTGTTCCCTATGATAATACTCAATGTTCCATGATGCAGTATCTTACCTTGTTCCCTATGATAATACTCAATGTTCCATGATGCAGTATCTTACCTTGTTCCCTATGATAATACTCAATGTTCCATGATGCAGTATCTTACCTTGTTCCCTATGATAATACTCAATGTTCCATGATGCAGTCTTTGCGGGGAGCGCTACTTGCAATGTGTTACGCATCAACTGTCTTGTCCGCTTTCACTACTGTTGGACTTGTCTTTCTTGGAGGACAACTCAAGCCAAAAGAAGAGTGAAATTCTTGGAGCTTCCTTGCCTCAGTTTTGCCTGTAAATTCTAATACTAAGTTATACCAAAGAAGAGTTACAATAATGACCATGAAAATGAACAATCTCAGTTAACTGCTCCTCAATTCTATGAGTGATATCACTTTTGTGCCTTCACTCTGTAAATTTTATCCTTCATAACTCAACTATTGATTGGCATTGTATATTTTATCTTAGCTGCACTTGATGATGTTCTGATTGACAAACCAATTCCTATGATTTCCTGATATGTGTTTTTTATCAATTTTGGAACTACATGACCTCTCTCTCTCTCTCTCTCTCTCTCTCTCTCTCTCTCATTGTGAGAAGGCATACTCGCATGAGAACCCAAAAGGTGATTCAATGCCAAAGAACTCTCGAGTTTGCATTATATAAAAAGTTGTTGCCAGGAACTAGAAAGTAAATATATATATATATATATATCATAATTCGGCAAACAAAATTATCACAAGCTTACACTTATTATTTGCAGAATAATAATTTTACAAAGAGGCGTACAAGAAAATTTGATTAATAATAATGTTACAAAGAAGTATTTAAACAGAACCATCATGCTTTTTTCAATTCATTCTCTCTTTCTTGATGAGTTATAGAGATCTTATTTGATGATGAAGAAGATTCACCAAGAAACTCCGATCTCAACTGCATCAGCAACCTGCCTAGATAGTTTAGGCCTTCACCCTCTCGACCTCCTCCCCAAAAGAGATCATGCGGCGACGCTTCAACAAGAACAGACCCTGCTGTCGAGAGCAGCATAGAGTTTAAATGAGGGTAGATGGAAAATTTACATTTCAAGGCCTTGTACATAACATCGATCTTGACAGATTCCCAATCAGATCTTACCTGCATTTCACAAGACATTGCAGAAAATTGAATTTAACTTGACTGTGCACCGTAAAGGCAAAGAAATAAAGTAATTTAGTCAATACTCCATTGGTCTCTATTTGTTAACAAACAAATACTGGTGTGCACTATATCCAAAGCATTTTGCATACTAGATATGTATTTTGTCTATACCAGTACTCATATGACAATATTTTTGGACCACCCATGCTTCATATAGCATCATAGTTATCCGTACATACCAGATCAGGGTGCTGCCTCTGCATTGTCCTTCCCATTCGTGCTGCTTCCTCAGGACTCTTAGCAGATCTTATGTCTTCCACACAATTCCTGGCTACAGGATCATTCACCCCCACAAACTTGTGAGCCTGCATTTGAAGCAAAAAAAAAAAATATACATTATAACCACTAAAGTTGCAAACAAACAAATATAATTTCTAGAAATAGTGAGTGACCTGATAATAATGCTCCACACTCGGCCAGGTTAGATAATTGCCACTTTCACAGGGCATTTGAATTGCATGAGGGGAGAAGTTTGAAAAGGCTCCATAAGGATCCCATGTCTTGTAAAAGAATATGATGCTTGATTCATAAGCGGTAACTGAAGGATCAATTGCAGAAGTTTCCTCCACTGATGGAATAACAGGTGTTAGGTCTGGAACGGGATGAAGAAATCCACTTATAAGCATGTCCGGTCCAATCTGCAGTTCACGTGTCATAGGTAAGAAACAACACAACCTGAAAAGGTGGACAAGACATATTCAGAAACCTAGCAACTTTTTTCATAAGAAACTTCTGAAAATATAAGTTTTCAAACTTTTACTTGGATATATATATATAGTGTTGCACAAAAGTACTTTTTGAAAACTAGTTCAAACTCTGAATGAGTTAATTGAAAAAATGGGTCGACATTGAGCGTAATAGATTTTGAATCTCCTGATTTCAGGTGAGGTGGTTTCATGTTTCAAAATCAAAAGGAATGACTAAATTAAAATTTTCACATTCATTACAAGAGATGGAGGGAGGAAGTGCCAATACAAAGAGAAACCAAATGACTAATGTTTATAAACTTTACCATTTCAAACCATTCATGACATTGTCAAGATATTGCTACGCCAAAAAACATATCATTACTAATAAACAAAAAGGAAAAAGAAAAAAGAAAAAAAGAAGAAGAAGAACCTGCTCATAGCAAACATCAATTAATTCCAAAGCTTGTGTCATCTCAACCATCCCAAGTTCACCAACTGGAGAGGGTGCATTCTTTCCACCAATAATTTTAGGAGCAACAAATGCATACACCTGCATCAAGTCAAATCTATATGAAAAGCCATTATGCCAGCAAAAATTACATAACAACAGAAAAAGGATGCAACTTTTAGATAGACCTTTCCTTAGTAACTTTTATATAGATCCATTATCCATGTTTAATTTATTTGAATAAAATTATTGCTGTAGCAACTTAGCCAAGAAGAACTATCAAGACAGACCAGAGTCATTAAACCATGTCAAGGAATTGAAAACATGTAGACTAAAAGTAACAAATATTCTGTTAAGACATGCATATTGGAGAGAGATAAACAGTTCAAAGTTTTAAAGAAAATTACAAGAGAAGCAACTAGCCTTACGATGCTACAAGAATCAAATTTTCTTAAACACGCAGAACATGGAAAAGAATAGGGAATCTGGGATTGTT